GGGGGGACAGTGAGTGAGTTGTTGTTTCATACCACTAAGAAGAGACAAAGATAGTTTGAATCTGCCAGGAATTGTTATAAAAGATGGTAACAACAAGTCATAAAGAAATTGTAAAGCAAGACTGTGTCACCACAATACGCTCACTTCTTAAGTTGGACAAAGAAATTTACTCTCATAGCACAATGTCATTATTTGTCTGGTAATTCTGTAATTAATATGATGTCGGCCAGTAAGAACGTGCTAGACTAACTACGACACTTTAACCATCATTGCGATATCAAATGACTGGAGAGCAAGCTATATGAGTTGGAATCTCTAGCAGAGATTTTGAAAACTCAAGTTGTTTATAGGAGGTTGAATAATATTGTTGCATTTAAATGGTTTGATCTCAGCTCTCACTGATTCTGGTCCTGTTTTGATAATTGATATCCAACATAAAATGATAATTCTATAGATCTAGCCTGTTTGATGTCCTATTCCTACCTCCCCGTGGTGAGCAGGGATAGCTAGAACATTGTACTTCAAAAGAGCACACACGCACACAATGCTCAGAAGTGGGAATGATCATTTACCAGTTTGGATACCCTACTTCTGACATTTTGAAACTATTCGATTACAAACGGGGGGCGAGTCAAGGGTCAAACTTTGCGCAGGTAGGGTTGTAACGTCATGGGGGGTGGGGGTTCAAGGGACCCATTTTCTGTACCCATGGGTGGTTTGTGGGTGCTCTAATATTATGGTTTGCTCTTTCTTTCCCTCTGTTGTTTCTATCAGTCTATTGCTTTTTGCCTGCAGTAAATGACTGGTATTGTGTGGATGGGCTAACTTTTACTCAAACACAAATGGTCTGTGTGAAACATGACACTTGACGGAGTCCTACACTGAACAACCTCCGTGGTCCACGGTGTGTGTGTATATGTGTCGTTTCTCTCTCCCTGCAACCCCGCAGGGCAATGCTACTGACTCAAGTGTCTTTAGGCCACTCCCAAAGGGGGGACATTAACCATGTTCTTATGCACAGTAGAATTGTAAATGAGCTGATTCATCAATGATCAATGTCATGCTCATAACTGTGCCTGAACTACAACAGGGAACTGCTGCTTTTTCTTTCCTAATCCTTACTATCGTCATTTGTCCTCTACTTCTTTTGTATATTTGTCTCACTCTTGTGACCTGCTATTTCCGGGGTGCCTTGATAGTGGAAGCAGACTTTGTGCTGTTGAAGCTAGAGAGGTGAGTAGAGTAAATCTGATTCCCTGTTAAGACTTCTCTGTTGACATCCGCCTCTTGGCGCTCATATGACCTTGTGCTGTTGAAGCTAGAGAGGTGAGTAGAGTAAGTCTGATTCCCTGTAAAGACTTCTCTGTTGACACCCACCTCTTGGCGCTCATATGACCTTGTGCTGTTGAAGCTAGAGAGGTGAGTAGAGTAAGTCTGATTCCCTGTTAAGACTTCTCTGTTGACATCCACCTCTTGGCGCTCATATGACCTTGTGCTGTTGAAGCTAGAGAGGTGA